CTTTTTCCAAAAGGTACATCTGGAAAAAGGGGGGTCGTCTTATAATCAGGGTCGTCTCATATTCGGGCCAGTACGGTATTTTATAGTTCTATTGTCAGTCACAGCATGTCGGAGAAAACGCCTTTTGTGGCCCATGGCAATCAAAGTAAGCATTACATGACAAGTAAATGCACATTTCTGCAAAAACGATTGCAGAAATGTTATTTATTTTAAGGTTTAAAGTTTAACAAAGTCTTGTTTAACATTATGTAGGCATATTCTTGGAAACGAGCTGGCAGCAGAAATCACACAACAAAACGAAATGTTATCATTTCATAAGTAAACGAGTAAACAATTTAATAATGCAATTGAAAACAAGGTAATTCATATGACAACTAAAAACTAATAAAATTAATGCCGCAATTTCAATATTCATAAAGATTAATTTTTAGGTGTCGTCAATACGTCAGTTTTGTACGTTTAAATGCTGAAAATACGTAAGTATTTGTAAGTTTCGATGCTGAAAATACGTCAGTATTATACGGTTTAGTGCCTTTAAAAACGTATGTAAATGTACGTTTTATAGAACCACGTTTTACGTAAAATACATACGAATTATCATGAGATCACGTTGGATTATAGACTATATTTTACATATTAAGACTCTAAAACACACACACACACACACGTATATAACGGATACACAGGTTTTTAATGCATGTCTACTTAAGGTAAAACAGATGGCACTACTATTACATAGTCTAACTGGATTTCATTATGCCAAACAAACTTGAAGTTAAAAAAATAAGGTAAAATAATTTTGAAATTCATATTATTTTTGCGCATATCTCTATTCTCTGGGACCACGGACATAAAACCCGTAGAGTCAATCTCAACAGAACACGAGGGGTAAAGTGCATGTAAAGACATGCAAATATTAAGAACAATTCTCTGCTGACACACTTCAGCTTATCGTGGAAACTGAACCTGCATCAGAGAGCGATGGCTGCTTTGAATAAATGAATTCACTGAAAAAAGCAGACTGCACAATTTTCACTTTATTATGCACAGGCAAAGTGCAATAACTACAGTGAGCTGGAAGCAATTAGAAATCATTCTATTGTGGTACAGGAGACGACAATAAAAGAGGAGGCGAGAGAAAGATGATCGTAATCTTAAAAAGTCTGATGCTGGGAATAGTTTAAATGAACAGATAATTGCATGTGGAAAAAAAGCAGCGCCAACACAAACAGATCTATATTGAAAGAAAAAAACACACCTATGAAGTCCAAAGCCTGTAATTTTCTCTTCTATGCAGTACAGTATCAATCTCCCCCTTCAAGCTTCTGATAATGAATAAAGGGCAATGAATCCACCGGATGGGCTTTAAGAGTGATTTTGCCATGTTTGGGTTTATAATAACGATACAAATCTTTATATCTCACCGCTTTTTAATCACACTAGCGCATTCATCTCGGAATGATTTGGAATGTAATTTGGTGGGAGAGGTAATCAGGTTTTGCGTTAATTGACTTTGCGGCCTGCAGATAGAAGGGTTTTTCTGCTTCAGTAATTACCGCCCGCTACTCTCCTGTCTAGTCAGGTCTGCCTGTTGCTGTGCCGACCACCTCCCGGTGCGTATTAATGATGCGTGAGGTGTGCTGTGCCAGTGGGGAGTTACACAAAAGGAAATACTGGCGCAGCCGAGCGCGCAGGACACACGAGATTCTAGCATTTCCACAGGTGCTTCATGCACAGCTGCCATGAAAATCAACAAAGTCTGCAGCGTAGACAGCTTAATTGATTAAAAAACGCAATGTTTTAGCTTTGTTGTGCTGTGTCGCTCACTTTCAAGGTGTCTAGTTGGTGACCAAGGTCAAACTTCGCCAGCAGTCTCTTTCACTCATTGTCAGTGAATGACTGTAACTCGCTGTCAGTGTGAATGTATCTTCAGTGTAGACGTGTCTCTTTTTGTCCTTTTCTCTCTCACCTTATTTGTGATGCTTCAAAAACTCTTTTGTATCACTCCTCCCTGATATAAACAGACTCGGAGCGCAGATGTTTTCCGACGCAAATACAAACAGAGCGTGAACTAGAATACATGCGGCACTCTCAAAGCTCCTAAATAAACAGGCACAAAGACGCAACCAAAGCATATCAACAAACAGGATTACGTCATCAAGATGCAGTCAAAATAAGAAAAAACACACTTTTGTTTGACTTTTTTTTTGTACATCTAGGCTGAGAGATGCTTATTACGAGCTCTGCCAGTAGGGGGAGTAGTATTGAGAACCTGAAAGCACAATTAACTGTAGACTGTGTTCACTTTATAGGGAACTACTACAGAGTGAACAGGACACAGCATGTAATTTCATAACCAGAGATCCCTCAGGAAAAGCAACATTGTTTAGATTTTTGAAGACAATGCGGTAATAAAGCTCCTGCCGTGACGGTTGACAGGTTTTTGGATGGGATCGATTCACAAGACAATCAGATCATGAGACTGAAGGCATTGTGTTTTGAAAACTGGGAATTGGGTGTCAAATTCTCACTTTAACGCATGAGGTGAGACGAATGATGCAAATTTCAGCTCACTAATTCAATTAATGTAGTGTCAAAGACTTCATCACAGGGACTTCTGATTATTAATGAGGCTGCAAATACAAACACTGATGTCAAAATGCTCTCAACTGGGTTGAATAAATATAAAATGAGATCTGAAATATGTCGTGAGTGTGTGTGTGTGTGTGTCGGATGCAGATTTGTGACTTACGGGTTTCCGTAGTCCCAGACAACACACTGAGGATCCGTTGTGCCCTTAGAGGAGAAAGAAAAAGAAAAAGTTAGGAATGACTCCAAAACAATACAAAACAAATAGTGTTGCATCGCAGAACAGCAGAAAGGAATAATATACTGTATGCATTTGTGTCTGTATGAAGGGAGATCAAGTGTGGGAGAACATATGTGAATTTTATCGATTTATTTAACAACATAATCAAAACAGGTGGCATCTGCAAACACACAACGCTGGGCATTTATTTGAAACATATGTTTTATAGGCTGAATATCTTTTTGTGAAATGTTTAGCTTCAGAAAAGTGTGTACCACATTTCTGCCACTTGGTTAAATAATGTCTTAACTAATAAAAATCCATTCATATTGACCAAGGCTCCCTGGTAGAAGAGATATTGTATCTCAGCGGGACCTTCCTGGTTAAATAAGTAAATAAATAAATAAATAATTTATTTTTAGTTTGACTAATTTTTCAAATTTTTGGGGGTCCTAGATGATACATTTTTCTAACAATTATTCTTAAATTATTAAACATTAAAATAAAACAAGTATTTTTAATTATTAATACAATTAAAAAATATTAGGTTCAACATTAATTATAAATGTTTAATGAGTGCCGATGCACAAATATAAAACAGTTATTTTAAATTGTAATAATATTTCACAATATTGAATGGTAACTTGAATGTTAGTGTATATGTACACTATATATACATATACACACACGCACACACACACACACACACACACACACACACACATTTTCCTTTAAATAAAGAAACAGAACATGAAAAAAAAGAAAAGAAAAAAACAGAGAAAAAAAAACCTTTCTCTTGAGCCCAGAGTGTAGACTACTGTAGGTGAATCATAAAAAAAAAAAAAAAAGACTAATTCTTGATTCATTGATTTGTGAGAGTCTGCAATGATGCCCTCACTTTATGCCCAGTGTGAGGCTTTAATCAGGGTTCAGTGGTGCATGGCTGAATGAACAGCTCATTATTGATTCATCAACGAAACAACTGCTATAATTGACTAATCTGTTTCAGCTCAAGTTATGCCTATTATGTCTTTTCAGGAGGAGGAATCCCACATGGGATTTTATGACCTGAACAATGATCACCTCTGACCTTCAGGGGTACAACAGACTCCCACTAGGGCTTCCAGAATCAGAGGGCAATTATATCTTGTTATATGGTCCCAGTGAGGTTGCATACTTCCAATGAAGATGGATTCAGCGCGATACAGATGCTATACAGGATTTTTAAACATTTCATTGCCCCCAAGTGGTTAAACAATGCCACAAACTGGATTGGATCAAATGAGTGAAACAAAATTTGACAGTTGACACAAAGTAATAAGTGTTTGAATGACAGCTGGTTGACAACAGTCTGCTCCAGTGGCTTTCAGGACAGAATAGCAGTCTGATCAGTACAGAAACACTCACGCAGATGTTCGATAATTGTGATATGTTTGCTAAGGCCAGTTTTAAGTGTCCAGTATGGACTCGTGCCATTCGATTGGCTCGAATGTACTCATCAGCACCACAGACAGATGGCATTGGTACTCTCATTTATAATGAGAACAAATGACCAGAGCCGTTGTGTCATCGCAGGTGATAAACAAAACCAACAAAACATGCAATTGAATACATCATTTCAATTTGAAACTGACAGCCGGACGAGTTTGGACATCAGTGATCAATAACTCGTGTAGACGCCAGTAATCCCGTGTTAAGACTGATGAATGGGGAGGATAGCCGGCCAATGACACAGCTGGAGTGCACTGCCTCCATTTCCCAGCAGCCTCTGGGGGTCAGGATGGCTCAGAGCAGCTGTCCACACGGTCTTTCGTATGCAGATGGGACTCACCCAGGACCACGGCTGAGCAGGGCACGACCTCGGTACGAGGGGGACGCATACATAGAAAACATTCATGAATCACGTCCACTCCCGCATTCCCAAAACTCACGCCTCTATGGAGGAGATAGCAGGTAAAGGTTGCCATGACGACTAGGGGAATATCACAATGGCAGTGTTCTCCGCGCAGCTGATATCTGTAGTGATGCACAATCCAATCTGCAGGTTTCGCATTTTGCATAAATCCTTGCGGGTGTATTTTTATTACAATCTTTCCCACATAAAATATTGAGAGCCTTTATGTGCAGTACTTTATGTCCTGTGTATTTAGGGATTGTTAAAGATGTTCTATTCATAACAGAGGATTATTAATAGAGGGTCATTTTAACAGAACTGTATTTTGTGCCTGATTATGGTGTTCAAACAGACTTACTGTACTAAAAGTCTGTGCTCACTGCATCTGAGGCAATTTGTCAGCATGAGTGAATGTGCATCGGTTATAGGTCATAACTAGCAGTACAGTTAGAACTAAAAGGGGAAATATAAGAATATATAAGAAGACAGAAATGAAATGATATGAAAATTCTTTAACACTTTAGTACAGGGACCAATTCTCACTAGATGCTTATCAGCATGTCTATTATTAACATATTGGCTGTTTATTTTGCACATATTCTGCATGATCATATTCTACATCCCTAATTCTACCCAATACCTAAACTTAACAACTGGCTTAATAACTATTAATAAGCAGCAAATTAGGAGTTTATTGAGGCAAATGTTGTAGTTAATGGTTTGTTAATAGCGAAAATTGGACCTTAAAATAAAGTGTGATGAAAATTCTGAAAATATATGAAAATATTCCTCTATTCTGCATATATACACTACCATTCATCAGTTCATGGGGTCTGTAAGATTTTTAAAAACGAAATAAACACCTATATTCAGCAAGGATGTATTACATTGATCAAAAGTGACAGTAAAGACTGCTGTACCTTTAAACTTACAAAAATATTCAGCAGCACAACTGTTTTCAATATTGATGAGGATTTATTTATGAGAATATTTATGCTATTTATGATAGTTTTTTTAAGCATCAAATAATTTTAGAACGATTTTGATGATAATGGCTGCTTAAAATTCAGCTTTGCTATCACATGAATAAATTACATTTTAAAACATATTAAAATAGGAAACCTATATTTATTAATATTTCACAATATTACTCTTTTTACTGCATTTTAATCAAATAAATTCAGCCTTGCTGAGCAGAAGAGACATTCAACAACAACAACAACAGTTTACCAACCCCAACTTTTGAATGGTAGTGCATAAGAAAATAAAAGTGCTTCAACTAGTCACCCAAGTGATTTAGTTAAGAAAAGGTACATCAAAATATACTGTGATGTAATATGCATATTTTGTTGATGCATTTAATATTAAAGCCTGTTAAAATATAAATAAAAGTATAAAGTACTTACATTGAGCAAAGGGGCGAGTTCCACTGATACCAAGGGCTCGGTGGGCTTGGGTAAAGGACGTACCGTCACAGTCAGAATCTTCGAGCTGATCACGAATGGATCTCTGTCAGGAAGGAACATAGAGAGAGTTAGATCCAAAACTGACTACATTTCACATCTACCAATAGTATAAAGGCTGGGCAACATTCAGAATTTAAGAACTGGCTCCCTTCAAGATTGAATTGGCCACAGCCCACAGAACGTTCAATTGGAAACGGCAAATTCAAAATGGCAATTCAAATAAATTCAACACAGTCACACAATAGAATGTTTATTAGTTGACAAATTGTCACAAAACAATTAGTTAATTTGAAATTATAGCTAATTCTACATATTTATTCCCAGACACGTTTTTTTTTTCAACTGATTACACATATCTCTCTAAACAAGGTTCAATATTGCCAAAATAATTTACATAAAAACATATTTTAATTTTTGTTATTTTTTTTTATTAAATTTGTTGTTATTGAAATAAAATAGTGTAACAAAAAATACATAAATTAAATACAAATCTCTATTGGCGGCATTTCAAATACTGGTTAGAATTATAATGTATACTTACAGCAGTGAATTTCTTTGAATTTCACTGCATTTCAATTGTACTTCCTTAAATTCGGAATACAGTTCCGCACACTGTATGCTGCCTCAATTGAAATTTGATTCAATTGAATTATAAATTGCACACAACCCTGGCAGGTAATCCATGACAGAGCATGATACAATGGCTGAGTGCCACCGTTTGTGTGTGTGTGTGTGTGTGTGTGTGTTTGTTTTAAATCCATTGGCAGAGCTATTTTGGACCATCCTGTGCTAAGCAAATCCATCTATTTTTGGTGTGTGTGAGTGCGTGTGTGTGTGTGTTTGTCAGACTTTGTTCTGTGTTTTGTGTGTGTTTTCCTCCCCTATGTGCTCTGTTTATGTTTATGCCCTTATTTGGTCCTTCCTGTTCCTGTCCGTATGTTCATTTAGTCCAGGGGTAAGTTCAAGCTCAAACCGGTGTGCACCGTTTTGCTACGGTTTCTGGGTTGAACGACATGTTTCCTGGAAAAGGTGTGCAACGGGGTTTGAGATACGTTTTCTCTTGTTTGTTGGGTGTGTCAAATGAAATAATAAGAGCACATGTATAGCTCTGGAACTTCTTTAAGTCTGTCTAAATATAATTTAGTAATTGCAATGTCTTCTGTTGGCGTCTGCTGTTAAATGTCATTTTGTTTGCTTGATGTCTCCAGTGTTCCCTGTGATCCCCAGCGTGCCTTCATTAAAACCTGTTGATTTGCATTACTCCTCGTCTCCTCGCTCCTTTGTTCCTGTGCTCCTTGAGTGAACCATGACAGCGTTACGGAGAGAGATAAAACTTGTGGGAGTTGGGTCACAGGGAGTTACATTCTGTCAAAAACAAATCGGGCAGGTTAGCTCCCCCTGGGGCAGCGAGAGCAAGGATGTGTGCTCTGCGCAGAAAATTAATGAGACACAACGCAAAAGCAGACCAAAAACAAACAAATAGCATTGATCCCATACATATTCAACGAGCTCCGTCACAATCAATCACACTGAGGAGCAATGACCTGGATACCCGCGCCTCTAACACGGCTCACAATAGAAAGAGACAGAAGCAAACACAAGCAGCGGTTGTCGGCACGCTCTTGTGTTCCTTGTCAGGGTTGAGGGCTCTGACATGCTCAGTGAGTTTGGACAGTGAACTACAGACCCCAGCAGGGCTTGAGCAGCAGAAGAGACGTCTCTACATGCCCCCCAGTGTCAGCTGCACGAATCAGCCTAATTACGCTTATCTCCTTTCTCTCAATACAGACAGGCTCTCAGTAGTGGCTACACTGAGGGCAAAGGCAACACAGTTACATGAAATATCTAAAAATGTAGCCTTGCGCTTGCCCCAACTGTGCATGGCGAGATTATTTTCCGTAAGTGATCTTTATGTCCACACTCAAAGCGCAAATGATGCGAGACATTATGAATATGAACAAAATGTATGTAAAAACTGTCCCTGTAAAACCTGAGCTACTATATGAGATTTAAGAGACTTAAGATAGTGAAGTATCTTATTATAATTTTCTCAGTGATATTTATTTTTTCATAAAAATATTTTCTTCAAAATATTTTTTAGTAATTTTTTTTATAACTTGTCACGACAGAAAAAAAATTGCACATGCACACAGAAAAAAAATGCATTACATTATAAATAAATAGATAAATTAATCAATTAATCAATGAATAAATAAATAAATAAACAATTAAATAAATAAATATATTTTTTTCTATGACTTAAGTTAAAAAGTTTAATACGTAGGACAAAAATTTATGAATTATAAAATAAATATGTTTATGTCACTGGACCACACACTCCAATTTAAATATGAAGAGAAAACTAATCACTTTTTTTTTTTTTTTTTTTTACTTTTTGTTTTTTTTAAAGAATTATTTGCTTAAAATGCTTTTAAGCATTTTTAAAGCAATCTTTAATATCTTTTGCTTAAAAATGCCACTTAGTTTGATATTTTGTTATTTAATGCAGTGACATTGACAAATTTTTAAAGGGGTCATATGATGTTGCTAAAAATAACATTATTTTGTGTATTT